TAATAGCAAAAATGTAAGATTTTCTCCAATTGAAAGGTCCAGTGTCTTGCTAGATATTAATTGTAAACATTTCAACACATGTGGAATGTTAAGTCTTCAGCATGGTCACCTTCTCAAAAGATATGCTGTGGGTTAGGCTTGTTCCTGCTTGCATGTATCTCATGAACCACAGTGGCTACTAGGTGTGTATTATACATTCATTCTTTGGTTCCTATTTGGGTTCAATGTTAAACCTACTTAAGTCCTAATCTACTTAATTGATAGAATGTAAATTAGTAATTATACCACTTAAATCAGTTTTTAACTCATTGTTCAGCATTGTGCAGTGTGTTTCAAAACTTTAAGTAGCAACTGCAGGAATAGAATTGGGTAGGAGACAGTAGGATTTGGAACACAAAATTTTCCCCATGGTGGAGTCCCAGCAAAAATTCCTACCTACCTGGTTACTATTAAGTGATTGCGCACCTTTCTGTGTGGGGCGGTGGTGGTGGTGAGTGTGTGTGTGTGTATGTTAAGTTTTACCAAATGCATGTGTTATTGAGGAGGGAAAATATAAATTAAAATGGCTTTAGAGTCTTGCAGAAGTTTGAGTAAAGGTTACAGACTTTGCCTTCCTTTGCAATGTATGGCTGCTGCTGCTGCTGCAATGGTTTCTAAGGCAATATGAAGAGTGAACATTCTTTGTCAACAGCAGTGTGCTCATTGATCCTTACCCACATCGCTGCTGAGGAAATATGTTAAAGGGCAACACATCCTCAACAACAGCTTTTTCGAGGGGGGTGGTACTGCTTGAAAGCAAAAGGCTTTGTCTTGTTGCAACAGCACAGCCCCAGGCCTCTGCAGAAAAAGAATGGTTGTGGAATTTTATGTTTGACATCGGCACCATCTGTCTGGTACTCTTTCACTCACCTGCTTGCTGATCTGTTTGAAAAAATAAAATGGTGGTTGAGCAAACTGGCTTCATGGCAGAAATTGGTTCTTTCTCTGCAGCAGTTTTCTAGCATTTGTTAGCTCTTCTGCCTCCTGTATGGTATGTGATGGTTTTACAGTGATTTCATTAGTTAGCTTTTTACCCCAAGCCAGAGAAGTATGAATGGCTTGAAACTGTAAGATTAAATAGTCTTGCTGTGCTAGAGAGAATTTATGCAAGGTACTACAAGTTAGTTCCACAGCTAGTTAAACTTCAGATCTGAAATAATGCTGCATTCTACTAAGGCAAGTTCTTTGCAATCTGTACTTAATCATTTTACACTCCAACAATGCTGACCACATTTACTACTGTGAGTTAATAAAAATGGCTTTTTCAAGACTGGTAGACTATTCCCCATTTGGTATAAAGCTCCACACATCATAGTCTAGCCTTTTCTTGGTGTCTGTGGTTTATCTGCTTTCAGTTTACCACTTCTGTTTGCATGAACTGCATTCTCTGTTGCATGAATGAAGATCAAGTATCAAGGTGCTTTCTCTTCATTATGTTTTGTCATATGCTAGAGAAAAATGACTTGTTTCTACAACAGTACTAGTCCTATTATGGTGTGCAGCTGCAAAGGCACAGAATTGTTCACAGTTGTGTATACATAATAGGATCCTATGCTTGTCAAGGTCATTCTGCTCTGGGTGTAGTATGTTGCAGTATAATGGTTTTATTATAATAAAACCATTACCAAATCAAAGGGGGCTAGTATTCAACATACATAGTTGACCTTGTTATTATTACTGCTATTTGATTGCATTTATATCCATCCTGTCCTCCTCCTTCCAATGGACTTAATGCAGCTTACAAGGTACTTCCCTCTTCATTTTATCCTCAGAACAACCCTGTGAGGTAGGCTAGGCAGAGAGGCAGTGACTGGCCCAAAGCCACCCACACATGGCTGAGTGGGGACTAGAACCCATGTCTCATGAGTTCTGGTCTAGCTCTTTTAACCACTACACTACACTGACTGCTCTTACGATAGACAAAACATTTCGGTACTACCTAGATAGGTTGTCCCTAGTTTCACTTTCTCCCAGCTATTTTTAGCTGTAGACCTGCACTGTACCATTTGGCAGCAGGCAATATTTCTGTTCACAGTGTAGCAAAACTGGAATACTATGAACTGGAATGTATTGTGACTTTGCATGATGTCCCTTTCCTGGTGTTGTGACACCAGCATATGCATATATGTAGGGCATACTGAAGTACAATTGACAGTGCACATAATTAACAATTTGCTGGTTCATAAGAGTAGATGGTTAGATGTTTGGGTTTCAAGCAATGACTGAACAAAGTTAAAATTGCTTTTAGTCAACATCGTTTCTCTATGTTCATAACTATCATATGAGCTACAGTGGCTTTTGGCTGTGGAATACAAATTTATTCAGAGCCTGGCCATAGTTTCTTTTGTAGATCATTGGCCACACTTATTGGTATAGTGCTGTTTATGCTTTGGAGGTATTAGGGCTGGTACTCTCACTCTTTTTTTATAGCATCCAAACAAAAGATGTGCATGGTTGTCATACATTGCTGCTGCTACGTAATTTTGGGAGGTTTCAGTAGCTTGGCTCCTTCATCCCCTGCAATGGTGTGCTCTGTTTTCACACAATTACACAGAGGTTGTCCTCAGTTTCATCACTGAACTATCACATCAGATTTGTTAGAGACAAAGCATCCTAAAGAAATCTCACACACAGCCAACATTGCATGCAAGTAGGTGGATTCAATAGAGAAAGCCGACATAGATTGTTTGTTTCTGATTATTTCCCAGCCTACAGCCACACTTACCTTTCAGTTTCTGGAAATTTCCGTTTCCCCACAAATTAATTCTAATAAGCTGCATCCTTTTTACAGTGTACCATCAAACCATGTGGCTCAGGGTGATCAAGTAAAGACTGTAATTTTAACTTGAATATTATAAAGCTGCTGGCTTTTTTCTCCCTCCCTTACCAGCTTCTGTTCTGAAATCTGATCACTGCTTCAGCTGGGAGGGGTGTGAGTGGGAGGGGAGGGGAGGGGAGGGACAGCCAGTGAGAGAGCAAGAGACGCAGCAAGTGTGGAGCTTGCTGCCTTTAGACAAAGCAGTCTGCTGCAGCTCTCTGAAAGGGACACATGCTTGCTTCCTTGCCTGCAAAAACACCATAGTCATTTTGTCCGCTTATGGAAATTGCAAAGGAAATTGTTCTGGACAAGGAAAGAAGCTCTGGCCATGCAAGATCTTGCTGCTTCAGTACTTGGGATAGATGCTGTCACTTTGCCCAGGCTTTGTCAGAGAAGGGAAGAAGAAATCTTTTGTGAAGGCTGCATCCCTGATGCTGCAGTATGTACTAATAAGGTTGGCCAGCTCCCGAGCTCTCATTAACACTGACTTGCTTAACAGTGAATCTTTTCTACAGGCCAGTGCAGCAGGATTTCTAGCCCCCAATTGTTTAGTGAGCAGCGAGCACTGCATTGTGTAGGCATTCCAGGAAGAAAGGGACGGGGGCTAGTCAGAATGTGCAGAACTTCAGATAACCACTGGGTTCAAAGTCTACAACCCTGGTGTCTTCATCAATATTTTGCAAATGCCCTTCAAAGACGGACATGCTAGGAAGGCTGAGAAAATACTGCGTGACTTGTATAGCAATTCCTCTGAGGACTGCAAGGACATGGGATTTGAACTTTCCTTGCAACGTCGACTATCTCCAGAACTGCACAAGGGAAGTAACAAGTTCCTGCACCCTTCTCTTTTGTGTAGAGGAAAGAAGAGCTGTTCCATGTAGATTCTGCAGGGCCCCTGAAGAATTTATTGCTGTTTAACTGACTAAAAGGAAATGCCAGGACATATCTAACCCTATCTGCTGCAGAGAAGGGGGGCATGTGTGTCTTATTTGCCTCACCCCCACTTAAATGAAGGAGATAAAATGTTTTACCTGAAAGCTGCTTATTATCTGAGTGAGGAATTTTGTAGTACTTGCCTTTAGTAGAAGAAAATGAAGGACTGATAAACACAAGTCGACAAAGAACTGGCTGGACCAGACAAGTTGGGTGGAAAATGAGCTGACCACTTACTTTTTTTGATCTGACTGGATGCTCCGGTGTAGTTATCTGTTCTATTCTAGATGTTGACACTGATTCCCAGTACAGTTCAGTCAATACAGGCTGTCAGGATGTCATACATCTGGATAGGTGGTAAAATGACAGTGGCAGAACTTCTAAGCTCAGGCTTGTTGTCGCTCATGCCTCTGCTCCTTGTAATAAAATAACAAAGAGAAGCCCTTACTATGGTTTGCCTGTTTCGGGACTGTTGGGGGAAAAAAAGTATAAATCTTTATTCTTCTACTGCAGTTTGTGTGTGTTTTTTATTTGTCTTGCATGTCTTCCTTTGGACAGCTGTTCACTAATCTGGCTGCTGCTGCTTTTCTGAACACCCATCGTGTCTGTTTGTCTCTCTCAGCTGCATGAAGATGTATTTTCTCTCTAACTGCTTTGCACCTCCAGTGCTAACAGCCTTCCTTACTGGCCTGTTGTACAAGGTAATGCATCTGAAGTTGCATGGATGCAAGCATCTGCTGGGCTGTATGTATTTGTAAGCTGGCCCTCTCTTGTGTCTCATGCCTGTAACTCTGGCTTGGAATGATGTCTTGGAAAGTTTCTGCCCCCTCAGATGAAACAAGGAGCTGACCAAGATTCTTGTGAGGTTTGGGCTGCTTATGCCTGCAAGGAACACACTTAAGCCAGGAAATCAGTGCATGTAATGCCTTGGCCCCAGGAATGGTTCTAACAGCTTGGATTCAGAGTTTGTTTGAGTATGCCTGGGAGACCGATTAACACTCTAGTTTGAACAGGACAGAAGCTTATTGTTCATGGTTTGTGTGCAGAAGAGGAGCTATCTGTCAGCTGATTGCTGTTCTCTGGCCCTGGTTTGGCTTCTGTATGGTAATGACTATGATGTGGCAATGCCACCTGTCTTCCTCAGAGTGCCGCTGCTACCGCCTTAATGGGTTTTCTTTTTTCAAGCGTCTGCCGATTCCTCTCTCGTCAGGTTCACGGATGCTGGAGCAGAGTGTTGGGGAGTGGCTGGAGTCGATTGGCTTACAGCAGTATGAGAGCAAACTGCTTCTCAATGGCTTCGATGATGTCCGCTTCTTGGTAAGTAGATGCGGGGAATGTATAGAAAAGTTTTCTTGGGACTTGTAAATTACATGTTGGCAAATAAATTTAAACTCACAGAGTACAATTCATTACAGACTGTCCATCATGCAGATACATTTTTATTATTTGATGTAGAAAACATATTTTCAGATTCAGTAAAACAATTGTAAGATAGAACTCGGTTCTCATTATTTGGATGAGTTTAGATGTTGCACACAAATTTATTTTCCTGTTTTTAAAGTTTTAATACTCCTTTAAATTAAAGAAAAATCCCAAACTAAAAGAGAGGCTGCCACTAAATCTCTTCCAGATTTTGGCAGAATTGTATTTACATTGACACCTGGAAAAGAGTGCATTTGATGGACTTGGAGAGCTGAACTATTAATGTCAAAAAATAACTGTCATGGGCATCTTTGAATTCTGTCACAGTGTGCCCACATCTTTGAGTATTTTCCTCTATTCTTAAGCATTTGAACAACCCGCAGACTATATATTTTATTCTTACATTGCATTTATACCCTACCTTGTGAGAAACCCAAGATGGCTTATATAGTTTACAGCAACAACCCTGTGAGGTGGTCAGACTGCAAGTTAGTGACTGGCTCAAAGTTACCCAGTGAGCTTTATGCTCAAGTGGGGACTAAAACCTGAATCTTGCAGGTCTCCAGTTCAGCACTTTGACCACCTCACTGTACTGACTCTCTGTTGTTGAACTAATCACATTCAAAATTGTATTCATTGTTTAGGCAAATATTTGGCCATTCCTTAGTTGGTATAGACTGATTCTGTAGTGCCCTATCTCCAAATCATTTCAGATATTTAGTATGAATCGCAACCATGCTTTCTTCTTTGTGGTTTCTGTGCGTCACACATACAGGCTTTGCTCGCATGCATGGGCTCATTTGGGAAGATACTGAAGCTAATTAATAAGGACTATTCTATAATTTCTGCATAAAGGATATAAGCAGAACTGTTCATAAGAGAATAAGTTTTTGCCTTTCCAATTTTTTTCCAAGGAAAAAACACCTCGCTTTGGTATTCGTGTCACTTAACCTCTTAAAGCAGAATGCTGTTAGCTCAATCAATGTTACTGAACACCAGTTGTTCCCGACAGCACTTAGCTAAATTATGGTCAATCATTCATTGGCACTAGACAGGAATGGATACTTACCAGAGGATCCTTGCTGTGTTTGTCTAATGGTGTTGCCACCTTCCTTTGACAAGTGGGGTTGATGGGTAGCACAAAGATTCAGCATCTTAGGATGATGGGTTTATCATGCCTTGGTATGTAAAATGCACATTTGCTAATACTTCAGCTTGCTTTTAGTCAGCCTCCACCTTCCACAAGGCAGACACAGAGGCTGTTGAATTGCATCCCCTGTAATAGCCTTGAATGCCTCACTTCACTTGACCTGTCAAAGCCAAAATCTCACATTGAACTAAGTGCTGTTCTGAGTTTGAGAACTGTTGATTTCCTACCCGAGATATTTTGTACAAAATTGTAAAAGATGTTCCAAAATGGATACAAGTCTGGATGGATACCAGAACAGATAAGGCTTTAATCCTTCATGGGAGAATATTGCTTAAATGTTTATCAGGATAGCTCTGTACTCAAATGATCACTTTAAATAGTAATAAGCTCTGTTTATAATGTCTTTTTGCAACTAGTTTAAACAGTAACTTAAAGGTAAAGCCGTTCACTTAGTGAGTTATATTTGAATTGGAATTTAGAAAGAAGTTGCTATTTAGTTAATGACTGTTCTGTGTGTAGTGAATGGCTGGGGTGGATAATAACCAATCATGTGTGAAGCTGCTCATATTTCTCCTGCTTCTGAGGTGGATGAGAAGAAGCGTGGAGAGGACAACTTAATTTTATTGCTGCTGCATTGAAAATTCAATGAGATTAAACAAGACTGTTTTAATCTTACCTTCCACCCATAATAGTCTTTATGACAACCATGTCTTTGCTGGGAGTCCAATTTTTATCTAGTTCAATTTTTTTTTTAATGGATACATTTTTAAATTAAAATAAACTTTTAAAAAAGAGCAAAGTGAAAGAATTATGCATGTCATGATTATACAAGCCATTCCCAGAACCAGTACCAATTTAAAGAGCAGTTTACTACTTTAGTCTTTGCCAGTACAAATATTGACAAATGTTATCAAAGATATTAAATTCACCATCAGTCTTAGTTACTTCAACTCAAAGAATGTTGTGGTGTTTATCCTCAAAAGTTAAAATGTTGGCAGGTATAAATGCAAATATTTTAATAAAGACAACAACCCATGTTATACCCACTGTTAAGGCAATGATATGTATAACTTTTCCAGTTAATGTTTTACTTTTTGACTAGAGGTACAAGTCTTATATTGAATTACTATATCATTTCAGTTAAGGAGTGTTCCAGAGTGTGTTTGCTTCTATATTTTCTTTTTTAACCATGTATCTGCAGGAGGAAACTGTGGACCTAAATTCTTGATATAGTTGTTTATCTGAATTATGAAATTTAAAGGCATATTCTCACTTTACTGAACATAAGGATAGGCATAACACTAAAAATAGGAGATGGAGTGTTCATTTGGTTCCTAGTATGTATGTTGGGAACAATGAATTTGTATAGCCTTTCTTTTAGTTAAATAGTGCTTTTATTACATAGAAATGCATTTAAGAATATAGAAAGTTGTTATGAGAATTTTCTCACTGCACTTTGCATTCCCATAATCACTTTCAATACCCTGGACAGCTCCCATATAGTAAAAGGTAGGTAAGGTGTTGGGTAGTTCATCTGTTACATTTGTCTGGGGCATTTGGAGGTGCCACTTCTTTTTGGCTTAACTAGAAGATCTGTAAGAATTATCCCTGGTATTGTAAGTAGCAAGAATAGCATACCTAGTTTCTGTCGTTTGTTTAATGTGATTTTGTTCTTCATGCGTTGAAGCATTTAATATTAATTATAATTTCTTCTATGCAGTTTTGCCATGATTTGGCTAACATGCTGCCACTGATAATGGTTCTTGTAACAACTCTTGCACAACTCTAAAACAGGTAATAGGTTATTGCAAAGGTTGTTTAACCCTCGCATATTCCATGCTACCTGGGTTCTTACAGCATAACCCTCAAGTGGAAGTTATATATCCAAAATGGCAGATGCATACACCATAGCCTTACTGTGGGTTAAGCAGCTTATAGTAGTCTATCATATTAAAGGAACAGTTCCAGTGTGTGAGATGGCACTAGAAGTAGTAGTGCAGAAAATTATGGTTCCTACTTTAAAGTTCCAGTTGTGAGCTTTAGTTCAGTTTTTTGGAAGTCTGACTTATGTACATAAAGCAAGATTTAGGGAATTTCAAATAACAAATATTACTGCAGCTAAACTGTTCAGTTCTGCAGGGTTTTTTTTTTTTTTTTTTTTTGAGCTTGAGTCTTAAAAAAACCCAAAACTAGCCAGGTACCAACCCTAATTAAAACACTTCGTGTTATTAATTTTTTCCAACTCTCATAGCAAAAGTTATTTTTCTCTGGGCTATGTCTGTTTCTTCATATTTACAGTTTCTGTTTAAAGTATTGTGCACTTCATTTATTTATGTTGAAGCCAAATAAGTGAGTAAACATAATAAATTCAAACCAGTGTATTTTGTGTATGAACCTTAGTAGTTTCCATAACATTGGTATTCCTGTTTGAATTAAGCTGTGATACATGCCATTAAATTACCGCTTTTGGAGATTGTTTCTTTTTCCTTGCACTGAATCTGGACAAGTTATTTACAGAATTATTGTTAATGGATTTTACTAAGGGTTCAGATAGATTGCTACATTTAGCCTGTTTGGGTACAATCCTGTAGAGAAATCCATTCTTTGATCTCATATTTTGCTATTACAATTTTTTCAAGTTTTTGTTTAAATGAATAGTGGGATTTGTGAAATATATGATTCTAAAGAGTAGATCAGAAGTGTTGCAGTAAATCTCACTGACATAGAGGCTATCAAAGCATATTGAGTACAAGTTTGCAATTTGCCAGATAGACTATTAGACTAATTGCTTTAGAACTAATAAAATTGTTGGGGTCTTTTGATAATACTCCGTTCTGTATGAAAACTTGAATTGCATTATCCAAAGTAGTGTTCCTAATGCTCAAGATTCTGCAGGTCAAACAACAATTCAGCAATGGGGAAAGACACCTGGGCAGAGTATATAATCCTTTCAAGGTAAAGGAATAAAAATGCAATATAGATATCCTGACTCATGGTAGAGCGAAAACTAAATGACATCCCACCTCCCTGATGCTGTCCAATTATAGCTTTACAAACTTGAAATCAAATAAACAATAGCTTCATTTGGGTAAAATAGAATCACTCAAGCATGGAGATTAATATTGGTGCCAAGAGGGCAATGTAAATGCATTTTGCATAGGGCTGTGCAAATAAATATTTTTCATTTTGACTTTCCAAGGAATATATCTAGATCAATAGTGGTGCTTGTTTGTCATATATTAATTCAAGGAAACCCATTGCATTACCATACCCTGCTGGCATTATGCTAGAGGTAGCTTGAACTACCACTGGATCATCCTGAGGCTATTTTGTAGTGGATGGTATATAACATTTTTAAATAAATAGAATAAATAAAAATAATAATGGTAGTACTGGATCCTGCCCAGTATCATCAATTTGCTTAGGCTGTTTATATTTAAGAAGTGGGGAAGGCTATTAAAGGTATTGACACAGCAAGAAATTTTAGCAGCTCAAAGAACTGTGCATGGTATGCTGACAACCACTCATCTATGGTGAAACAAGGTCAACTCTTTTTCAGTAAGATTATTGGAGTACTTTTGATTTTACTACCAGTATCAGTTCTGTTTCATTTGGACATAAATAAAAATTTCATTGACCTATGCTTATTGCTAGGGACAATCACTGGAAAAAGATTAATTACGACTTTGAACCTGCCAACCTTGTCTAACACTGTATTTGCAATTGACATTGTCTGCAGAATAAT